CAGAGTGTGTAATGGCATCTGAACTGTGATTTTAATTTGTATATCCCTGATGACTAATGAAATTAACGCACCTCTTCATATGCTCATCAACTGTTCAGATTTTCTCACTTCTAAGGTGTCTGTTCAGTTTTTCCCCCATTTTCTATTGAGTTGTCTGCCTTTTTTGTCACTATTTTAAAAAGTTCTTACATATATTCTGGATACAAATCCTTTGTCAGATATGTATATTACAAATACCTTGTACTTGTATACATACAATATGAATAATATATAATATGAATACATTCTGTAGGTTGCTTTTTCAGTCTCTTAATGGAGTCTTTTGATAAACAAGGTTCTTCATTTTAATGTAGTCTAATTTAATATTTTTTCTTTTATGATTGGTTATTTTGTGTCCTGCTTAAGAATAAGAAATCTTTGCCTTCTTCAAGTCACGAAGATGTTATTCATCAAAAGTTTTATTATTTCACCTTTCCCATTTAGATATGCACTCCACCTAGGTTTGAATATATATACATACACACACACACACACACACACATACACACACAGATGAAATAGGGGTCAGGACATAACTTTTTTCCAATTGACCAATTTATTGGAAAGGCCACACTTTTCCTGCTATACTGCAGTACTAGTTTTGTCATAAATCAAATGAATGTATATGTGTAGGTTTGTTTCTGGACTATCTATTATGTTCCATTGGTCAATCTGTCTATCCTTGCCTAAACCTCACTGCCTTAATTACTATATCTTTATAATGGGTCTTAGAATCTATAGTAAAAGTCTTCCAGCTTTGTTCTTCTTCAAGATAGCCATGTCCATTCTTGACCTTTTGCATTTCCATATGAATTTTAGAAGCAGTTTGACAATTTTATCCCAAAACAAAAAAACAAAAAACAAAAACCTGCTGAGATTTTCATTGGCATTGAATTGAATCCATAGAGTCATCTGAGAGCTGTCATCTTTAAAATATTGAGTCTTCCAATCCATAAACTGATACATCTCTGCACTTATTTAGATTTTCTTTAACTTCTTTGAATAATGATTTGTACTTTTCAGTGCAGACCTCTTGCACATCTTTTGTTAGGTTCATTCCTAGATATCTGATGTTTTATAATGCCATGCTAAATGGCTGATATTTTTAACCAGTTAATGAATCAATGAAGTTGTTTCAGACCTTAAAAACTTTGTTCTCAAGCCTACTGAAACACAATTACTGTGAAAAATGAATGGCGCATCCTTATTTCTACCACCTACCTCTTTGCACCATTATTTAGAACAGGCCTGCCTATAGGCTGATATCGGGGTAAAGATCAACCTATCAGGATAAGTCTAATATCTAATTAACATTACTGATCTGAAGAAGCTTTGGTTTATTAGAGGTTGAAAAACTAGCCACCCTTAGACCAAGTTTTATTCATATGTGTTTTTGTTTATCCTGCCCAATGTTATAAACACATTAAATCAGTTGCCAACATTTAAAAAATGTATAAAATTTCAGCTTTCCAGATTTCCTTTTTAAAAAAATCAAATAATCTGACACCAGGCTCATAATCTTTCTTGGAAAAAAACCGGCTGAAATTCAGTAGCAACTGCCTCCTTAGATGGAGCACGTTCTCCAGGTTGCCACCATCCCCACCACTCCCTATTATATTAGGGGATCTTATTCAACCCCCTATGTTACCAACCCCTATAGACACTTGCATTTGTGACCGCTGGTTTATCACTTTTTGGCATTTCGTTTGTTTCATTTTACTATTTATTTTTGTTTTCTTTATTTAAGGGCACTGCCCTTTAAATGCTGTTTTTAAGAATGGAATTGTCAAGAGAAAATTACTCTCCCTTTAAGAATCAGCTCAAGGAAGTCCTTCCCAATTCTCCTACTTTTGTACCCTTTACTCCAGCACCTATCTGGTTATATTCTAACTATTAATGTTTGTATTTTTCTTCTCCTCCAGCCAGGAGCCCTTACAAAGGAGAGACTCTGAACCTTCCTCGTGATAGTCCCAGTACTTGGCCTATAGATGCTCTTAGATTCTCAATAAATATGTATCAAATCAATACATGAATGAATCATAGATGATCGATAGCTGAAAATCAGACTGGGTTACTATGTCTCTATCTGAGGGCAGTAAACTTAAACATAGAACCTAGAGAATACATGTTTTCTCTAATATTTCAAGATAATACACTGCTACTTCTGCACATGAAATGCAAATGACAGTCGAGCTAAACCTGAACAGTTTCATCCAAACGTGTTCGCAAGTACACCAAGTGTGTTGCCTTACCTAGTTTCTTGTTCACATCACTTTGAGACTTTCTTGTGGTCTTTTCAATTTCATCCACTAGCCTCTGGCTTTCTGCCACCAGGCGTTCAGACCGGGACCTTTCGGCCTCCGCTCTGTGGTACTGGTTCTTGTTAGCAATGTGCCACTCTGAAGGCAGGAACTTGGGTGGAGGTTGTAGTAGTTTGGCCATTTGAAGTTTCCAAAGTCCTGATCAAAGGCAGACTTCTTTTAGAT